GAAGAACATTTAGAGATCATCCAAATCGGTGCTTCTCAACCAGGGGCACCGCTGCCCACCCCAGGGGACACGTGGCGGCGTCTAGAGACATTCTGGTCGTCACGACTTGGGGAGGCGCTACTGACAGCTAGTGAGTAGAGGCCTTGATGCGACCGAGCATTCTACAGGGCACGGGTGCCCCCCCCCCAACAGACTGAGTCAGCCCCCAATGTCACCGCTGCTGAGGCGGAGCAACCCTGAGATCTACGTTTCTTGGTTACTTTGAAGAAGAGAAAATTGTGGCCCAAAGACACAAAGTAACGTGCCCAAGGTGCCACGGTCCGGAAGCCAGAAGAATCCAGGTCACAACTACATCCGTCTCTCTATCACCCGTTCGGCTCTATCTAGGGTTGGGCTGGGGGAGAAGGAAGGCGAAGGGCCCAAGGATCTTAATTCCCGTAGCCAACTTGAACCGAATGAAGGAAGCTGCAATAAAGAAGTTGCCGAATTACTGCAACAACACATCAGGGTGTCCAAACCCTGAACGAAAGGCCACATATAGGAAATTACACCAGATACAAAGATTAACTCGAACTAGATTAAAGACTCGAACATAAGACCTGACACCATAAAACTCCTATTAGAAAACACACGTGGGTGGGGGGGGGGTGCCTGGGTGGTGCAGTCGGTTAAGCGTCCGACTTCGGCTCAGGTCATGATCTCACAGTTCGTGAGTTTGAGCCCCGCGTCGGGCTCTGTGCTGACAGCTCAGAGCCTGGAGCCTGCTTCGGATTCTGCATCTCCCTCTCTCTCTGCCCCTCCCCCACTCGCGCACTGTCTCTCTCTTTCAAATATAAATACACATTAAAAAAATGTTTTTAATTAAAAAAAAAAAAGAAAACACAGGCGGTAAGCTCCCGGACATAGGTCTTGGCGATGTTTTTTGGAATCTGACACAAGCAAAAGCAATTAAAGCAAAAATAAGTAAGTGGGACTACAGCATATTAAAAAGGTCTGTACAGCAAAAGGATTCATTTATAAAATGAAAAGGCAACCTACTGAATGGGAGAAAACGTTTGCAAATCACATATCCGATAAAAGGCTAATATCCAAAAAATATAAAGAACTAATACAACTCAACAACAACAATAAAAAAAAAAAATCAGATCCAAAAATGGGCGGAAGATCGAAATAGACATTTTTCCAAAGAAGACATCCAGATGGCCAACGGGCACATGAAAAGACGCTCAACATCACTCATCATCAGTGAAATGCAAATCAAAACCACAACTAGGTAACACCACACACCTGTTAAAATGGCTATTAACAAAAGGACAAGAAATAACAAGTGATGGCGAAGATGTGGAGAAAAGGGAACCCTCACACACAGTCGGTGAGAATGTCAGTGGTGCCCCCACTATGGAAAACAGTACGGAGGGTCCTCAAAACACTAAAAATAGAACTACCATATGATCCAGCAATCCTACTTCTGGGTATTTATCTGAAGGAAACAAAAACACGAACTCAAAAAAATATCTGCCCCCCTATGTTCACCGCAGCATCATTTACAATAGCCAAAGCATGAAAGCAACCTAAGTGTCTGTCGATGGATAAATGGATAAAGAAATTGTGTTATATATTTACAGTGGAATATTATTCAGCCGTAAGAATGAAAGCTTGTCATTTGCAACATGGATGGACCCCGGGGGCATTATGCTAAAGAATGTAAGTCAAACAGAGAAAGATAAATACCTTCTGATCCCTCTTATATGTGGAATCCAATTGGGGGGGGGGGAAGCTAGAGAACAGATTGATGGTTGCCAAAGGC